CCTTCTTCACGTAGGCATTTGCGATGAGCCTCAATCCATTTTGCACAAGCAGCTTCACCATGTTCAACAATGCATTCATCCCTCAGCCTCTTCGTCTCAGGGCAAGCACAACAAATTTTCTTACGCTTTGGATCAGGTCCAGATGCCGAGCCACCCGACCCCCCTTGATCTTTCTGTGATTGTAAATATATCACAGAGGGAGAGTGCTGTATCGATAGTCTATCCATTGCCACACGTCGCTGAATGCTACTGGATATCAAAGGATTTCATCAGTAAAAAAAAAAAAAAGAAAGAAAGAAAAAAAGCTTATTCTACTGAATTATCCAGGAAAAGATGGAGCTCCATGAACACTACAGTATGGTCAGAAAAACACATAATATCGAAATTGTACGAAGTAAGAGATTAACAGATTTATAATGAGCCTCCTATACCCACAGCACCATAAGCTTCAAAACAGAACAATACTCGAGAAATATGAGCAAAAAACAAGAGCATGTTTGTCTACTATAGTACTATTTATAAGAGCTTAAGCTCTTTCAAATTTGCAAGTCAAGCTTTTGATGGTCTGAACCAAGAGAAACTTCTTCTCTTAAATCATTCCCCAACTTTAGACAAAATGATGATCATCACTACTTGTATACATAGAAAATTTATTTTGAGTATGAAGTACTACTGAATTTTTTGTCCTTACAATTTCTCTCTCAAATTCTTAATCCTATTTCTCTTCATCTCACTCGCTTCATTTCTGTGTTTCTCTCTCCTGTTTTGCATTACACAACTTTCCCAATTTATGAATTGTTTGGGAGGGATTTCAATCCAATTAAAATTGAAAATATAGCCGTTATTGGGTCCCACTCGTCTAATAAAAGTCAACAATAACGGTTAGTTTTTCAATTTTAATCTGATTTTAATCTCTACCAAACAAGCTCTTACTTTCCAACCTTCAGAACAATATCCAAGGCAATAATCTAGCCAAATCATAACAGGTTGCTTTGATACCACTTTATCACACCCGAAATCCCTCACATCAAGATTAGCACAGACACTATTCTTTGATTATAACTTCTCTAAAGATCTTTCTCCTATCTCACAATAACATACATATAAAGGAAACTATCAATATTGAAAAGATAAAATCCTAATGCTTCATGATTCTATTACATTTTTGAACATCTTATGCCACTCATTATCACACTAGATCCCATGCAGTCATCTTGGCTTTATCTGAATGAGTAATTCTATACTTTCATCCATCAAATGAATTGAGGCCATATTCACTTTTACTTATTTAACGATCAAAAATCCAGTTTCTACAATATTCGAATTCTTTCATAATGGAATAAATATTGATTTTTAATAAACCAGAGTAATGAAGATAGATTCTAATGCAAATGCCCAAATCACACACCTCTCAGCGTTTCTCCATTCCAATTAATCATCTGCTCTTTTATAGAAGCGAGCATCCTTCTTTAGTTTTAATATAGAAATACGTCATTAAATTACAAGTCAAAAACTCAGAACCTGTTTCAGAGGCATGGAATTTAATTAAATCATTTACAGTTTACATAAACAATTGTAGTTCTCCAAATTAAACACAGCTGAAATGCATAATTCTATATCTTATTAGTTGACTTCTTAAAACCGCAATTCCAACAGCTGAAGAATGCCAAGAAAAGGAGAAAAAAAATCATACACAGCAAATACACGCAACAAACAAGCAAAAAATGGTACCTTTTTCTTATTTTTCACTGAATGAAAAAAGGGCTGGAATTTGGAAAATTGTTTTGATTCAGAATTTTGTAAATCTGGATTTGAAAGGAAAAATGAAAATGGTAGCGGTCTCCAATTTATTCCCGTTTTCTCATTACTTTGGAAGATTTTGATTGACTTTTTCCAAGTGAGTTTTGCGGGGAATTTTTTAAAGATTTGTACGAAATTAGTGGAAGTAATTTTTATGAAGTTCCATTTTTAAATTTTTATTGACTATTTAAAAGATTTTTAAAAAACGCACGTTTCAAAATTAAATACGCCAATATTTTTATCGATTCTTCAGAAGTCTACATTAAATATCGATAAAAATTTTAAATCACAAAAAATCGTTAAAAGTCTCGATTCAATACGTAACTTAATTTATTCAAGAAGAATTTGGCCTACCTACAATATACTCGACATCTTGTGTGCTTCTAATTCCAAAAGCGTGGCACGTCAACAAACGCTTCTAGAGGGATTCGTTTATTTAGGCCCCACATTTCACTTTTCCAATTTTGAATTTTTCACATTTGTTTAAAGCATGATAAAATTAAAAATGACACGTATTCAAAATTATGTAGGGTTTGATAGATATTATTGATATAATAATGTATTTTAAATAGTGATATGATGGGAAATATATTGTTAAAAAGTAAAGAAAAGATATTAATGTAATGAAAAATATTATTTTATTGAAAAATGTATAGTTGAAAATGAGTTTTAAAATAATGTATTTTGAAAGATTGTGTACTAAACTGGAGCTTAATCTACTTTTTGGTATTACATCATGTTAAAAATCCCATCCCGATATTGTCCCGTTTTGAATCCGATACAGGGACGAGGATGAAAATGGGCACACAATTCTCACCCTGGACTCCTCGAATTATTTAAATTTTTTTATTTTATTTTTATGTTTGTCATTTGAACTTGTACTTTTGAAAATAGATAATAATAGTTAAAATATAATTAATTAATTATTCTGAATTAGCACATAATCTCTTTACATTTCATTATTGTAGAGAAAAACATCATTACCTTCCATATTTTGACATTTTCATTCTTATTTCCACATTTCATTGCGCAAAATGTATTTTTTCATCCATTCTCTCAATTAGAAGTTGTGAAATGAAGAATATATCATTTTATTTAAATATACATTAAAAAAAATAAAAGAGAGAAAGAACTAATCGTAAGCATAATCCCAAAATTTTTAAAAAGAGCAAATGAGTCCCAAATAAATTATTAAAAGAGTAATTAGCACATAATGTCCCTACATTTCACTATTATTGTGAAAAACATCTCCACCCCCCATTTTTTGATATTTTCACCATTAATTACATCTTTAATTGCGCAAACAATCATTTATATCAATTTTCTCAATAAAAATTATGAAATGACAAATATACCCTCATATTTAAGTAAAAAATGAAAATTAAAGAAAATTAATTTTTTAAAATTTCTAATTTTTTAATAATTCATTTGGGACTCGTTTGCACTTTTAAAAAAATAGGGGTTGTGGTTGCAATTATTTCTTTATTTTTCAAATTTAAATATGGTGATATATTCATCATTTTACAGCTTTTTATCAATCAAATGTATAATTAAAGGTGAAAATATCAACAAATGAAAGGTAAAAACGTTTTCCACAATAATAGTGAAAGGTAAAAATACTATGTGCTAATTATCCCTTTAATAATTTATTTGGGACTCGTTCGCACTTTTTTTTAAAAACTGAGCTTATGATAGCAATTAATTCTTTGATATTCTTTTTATTTTATTTCAACAGAATGGTATATTCGTTATTTCATAGCTTTTAATTAAGAAAATAGATGAAAATGAGCTTTTACACAATAAAAGGTAAAAATAAGGATGAAAATGTCAAAAAATGAAAGGTGGAAACGTTTTCTACAATAATAATGAAAGGTATGGACGTTATGTGCTAATGACCCTATTTTAATTCTCGCCATGCCTTCCCTTTTAACTTTGTGGATCTATTCTTTGTTCAAGATAGGAAAGAATAATGATTTTTATCACCATTAATTTTTATGTGATTTTACGGAGCAATAAAATAAAAAAAGGTGGGAGAATTTGTTGGTCATATGGAATATCCAGCCTAACACGTGTCTATATTTCGATCATAACATAAACAAGTACCTATCAAATAACGAAAGTAGCAAAGGTACAAGTAAGGTCTTCATCATTCAGCAAAGGGCAAAAATCTAGATAAGAAGATGCTAAAAGCATAAATACTGGTATATGTATTGGAGTGAATATCATTGGCTCAATCTCGCGAAAATTTGAGCTGTTCGAATTGACATTCATCCTTGTGCATTTCGACAGATACGTGTACGAAAGTCGATAATCAAGAGAATAACTTTTCACTCTGTGCATATAGTGAAAAATTGGTGTCAACAGGCAATAAGAAATGAAAAGATCTGTTCTGAGGAGGAGCTCAACAGACTGGATGAGAACTGGCATAAGAAGAGAATGTTTCATATTATCCTCAGGAATTTGTGATAGCAGTTTTCATCCACCTTCTCCACCAAAAAACTGAACCTAATACCAGCCTAGTTATAGACTTGTAGTCATATATAGTCGACAAGCATATCAATCTCTACTTCATCGTTAGCAAATGTACAAACTAGCAGAAGATCCAGCATGTTTGGCTTTGCTTAAAAGATAGAAGCAGCAGCTCATTTCGTCTTTATTTTTACACCACAGTATGTGTAAAAATAAAAGTAATGCTATTCATCCCCACTGGGGATGGAAACACAGTTTACATGGCGTTAATGTGCCATTAAATGATAGATGAAATTAAATAAGTCATTTAATTTCACTTTTCATTTAACCTATCATTTAAAGCCACCTAAACTGTGTTTTCATCCCCACTGGGGATGAATAACATTACTCGTGAGAAAAAGACCAAAAAAGCTAATTCGTTTGGCTCTTAAGCAAAGCCAAACATGCTCGCAGCATATGAAGAAATAAATGCAAGATCAAGAGTGAAAACCAAGAGATATTTCATTCACTTTTGAGAAAATTTAATATATACTAAATTTAAAGTACACAACAAAGAACAAAACAGATTTAAAATCCCAGTGCACACAGGTTTTTAATAAAATCCTTGTTTATTAAAGTTCCAATCATCAAATCTACTTTACAAATTTAAATAACGTGAATTCGAATTTATGTTCTTTCAATTCACAGTTCCACAAAGCATGCTTATCAGCATCACGGGTTCCCAACTAATGCTAGTCATACTTCTCCCTCCATGAATACACAAGAAAGAAAACCCATGAAAGAGCGAGTACAATGTCTCCAACAACCAGTCTCAGCCAATCCCAACCGAGATCCTCAACCTTCCTTTCAAAGTAAATTCTCCAAATAGCCATTGCTACATGGAGAATCACACAACCCCCGGCAAAGAAGATATGGAATTCTCTGTCCTTCACAAATGCCACCATGAACAAGAGAAACCCAATGCAAAACAAAAGTAAACCCGAAAACGAATCCGATGTCCTAATTAGCAGCTCATCGTGAGGTGTTGATCCCAGAAGCTTACTGGCGTGGTCTTTACCATGGCTAAGCACAAACACCTTATTACTACAAAACATCATGAGAGCTCCACAAGTTAAGGCAATCACAGAATGGAGCATGCATATAAGGATAAACCGAGGTGACAACATTGATCATTCAAAATAATACTGATATTTGTCCCCCTTTTCCTCGAAGAAGATTCAATCTTTATGCCTAAAAGCAAAAAACCACAGAAATACTGAACCTGGTCCAGAACAACTCTTCCATTGCCAGTATCAATCCTACTTGCCAGTAATCAGAAATCAACAAAGAATACCCAATAATTATATTTACTTGAAAAGCATAATTCAATTCAAGAAAACTGAACCCATAAAATACTTCCTTCCAAGAACAAGATTTTTGGACTAAAAGTAACAATTAAGTAGCCAAATGATAGCCCCTTTATAAATCTTCAGGGCTCAGGACTCTTGTTCTATCAATATATGGATTTCAATAAAGGGTAAATTGTGAAATTGTGATCCAAGATAAGATATTTTAGATTCGAAACCCTGGTGTGGAGTAGAAACGCGTGGACGATTGAATGAAAATGTTCTGGAATAAATAGAATTTGAGAGAATAAGAAACGGTGAAAGCGTGACTATACATATATATGCACATATAATAATTTATTTATACATGATATGAAGCGATATAATTGGATCAGAGTTTTTTAAACTAAAAACTTTGACACTTCATATGTACGTAAGCTAACTTATCACGTACAAATAATATTTTTATAAATTTTTTATTTGTAAATTAGTAAAATAAATTATTAATCAAAATTAACAAAATGATTATGTTATCTCTCCACTCTCTCGTAAAAGAGAGGATTCCATGTTACTATTGTGATTTTCTCTCACGGATAATTGTTCATGCGAGGACAAAAAATGCACAGTTCATTCATGAAGATATTTCCTCCTTCCCATTATTTAAAATAGGGATAATTGCAGCTGCGGTCCCAAACCTTTCAGATTTTTGCACACTTTACCCTAACCTTTGATTTGTGCCAGCGTGGGTCCCAAACCTTTAATAAATTAGCGTCAGAGGTCCATCTGACGGTTTCCATCCAAATTCTCTGTTAGTCAACCAGAGAAGTCAAAATTCATTCAATTTTGACTAAAGTAAAAAGGGCAAAACGGTACTTTTATAATTAATGTTTTCCTAAATATTAATAACAATAAAAAACCATTAAACTAAAAACAAAAATAACAAAATAAAAACTCAATTCACTGTTCACCTCATATTTCCCACACCCCACCTCCTCCTAAACCCAACCAAGAAACTCGCAGGCCACCACTACAGTCTCTCGCCGCCTATCGTCGGCATCCATCGACAACCACCCATCCCACTTGCTGGTGACTGCCACTTACGCATCAAGCCAGCAACTGTAGATAACATAATCAGGATAAAGATTCGATTTTTGAGGATTTGGTTATGGTTTGGAGGCAGGGGTTTTGAGCTAGTTGAGATGGGGGCTGGATCTGAGTTGACTCTGGGAAGGGTTCCTTTTTTAGGTTGGGATTTTTGTTGAGGGGATTAAGGGCTTTGAGAATGCTCAAAGCGATTCCCAAAAAGACCAAGAATCCGGCTGTTTTCGCCACCATGTTTTCTAATTCATCGTTGTTGTCTCTTCCGTTGCTGCCATCGACGGCATGTGGGAAATTCGACATGGTTTTTGTACCAGCCGGTTTGGGTCGTAGGGTAGCAGGGTTGGAGGTTTTGATTTGGACTTTCAGACACTTCATATGTGAACAAGGGCTGATTATCTTGATTTGGGGGTTTCCGTCCAAATGAGTTTCTTCTTCCATAGTGGTGGCTGATTATCTTGAACACAGTGAGGGCGTTAAAGGAGTTGGGGGTTGCATACATGGACATAGTGGTGTAGGGGACGGCGGAGGTGAAGAGAAGATAGGTGCTGGGTGTGGGAATGGAGGAGGTGGCGAATTGTTAATATGTGGCATTGGTGAAGGTGAAGGCAGAACAGAACTTGGTGGAGGTGGAGAAGAGAGTAGTGGTGGGGGTGCCAAAGATGGTGGGGCTAGGAAAGGAGGTGGTGGGGAAGGTATATGTTGAGGTGGAGGTGAAGCTGCTGACGGCTGTGAGAGGTGAGGAGTGGAATAAATCGGCGGTGGTGGAGATAATGAACATGGCGGTGGAAGTGTAGCACATTCAAAACTGCTACAACTAATCGTCCGAGACAAGAACCTTTGACACTGCAAAATGGATCTTTGCTCCGGTCTCCCTCTAAAACAATTCCTTATGTCGTTAAATTCGGGCAGCTTCAAACAATCTGGTACTTCATCTGAGAAAAAATTGTACTCATACCCGAAATTCTTTAACTTTGGAAGTGAACATATCGCATTGGATATCTTCCCGGACAACATATTATGAGCGAAATTCAGCTGCTTCAAGTTTACCATATTCCCAATACCAGAATCTCTAAAATTATATCCAATATATAAATCTTGGGTGTTTCGTTTGGTGGTGGAAGATAGCGGTGGAGATGGTGGTAGAAGGTGGCGGCATTGTTAGGGATGGTGGCTTAGTTTGATTTTTGGGGTGGGGTGAAGAAGGAGATGAATAGTTGGTATTACTGAATGGACGGAAATGCCCTTCATTAGAATGGTCAAAATATCTCATTTTCTTATTTTTCAGTTGACTAACAGATAATTTGGATAGAAACCGTCAGATGGACCTCCGCCGCTAATTTATTAAAGGTTTGGGACCCACGCTGGCACAAATCAAAGGTTAGGGTAAAGTGCGCAAAAATCTGAAAGGTTTGGGACCGCAGCTGCAATTATCCCTTTAAAATATCTCATCTGCTACTATTTCTATTTTTCTTTCACGAAATTGTTTGACTTTCTATCACCGCAATATCTTCTCTCTTTCATGCAATCAAAAGTTTTTCATACTAAAGCTTGTTTGAGCCCTCATTTTTTTTGCAAAAAATATATTTTACAATAGCGTTACGAGGAGAATGTATGATTTAAAAATAAGGAAAATTTTTGAGTTTACGTATAATATTATTTTATTAAAAATTGTATATTTGGAACGAGGTCAAATTAGTGTTTAAAAAATTGGGACCCGGGCTATCCCAATGTTCTCTCCCTTGATGGTAGAAAAGAGGCGAAAGAAAAATATGGGTAAATTGAATCGATGACCATAGCGTCGTTTCTTCATCTTGCTACCATTTGCAGTAGAGTTAATTCATCCTGCAAGAGGTTGTGTTTATGGCTCTGCTACAGGTGATTCTTGTTGTTGTGGCTGTTGGGGTCAAGAGGTTCAAGGTCCAGTGCACAATGTCATACGCAGCGACTGCAGTTGGTACCATGATTTCGAAATCAATCTTGGTAGTCTGGTCGAGTTTGTAGGGTTGTGGACCAAATCTGTTAGTACCTATCTTCTTTAAAGCTTTATGGCTGGTTGTATAAAATAAGATAAAAAGCTCAGCAATAGCATTGAAAGTTCACTTATAAGCAAATTAACAGTAAGAATAATTTGCTTTTAAGGTCACTCCAACGATGGTTTATGCAGGATTCACCTACTCGGCACCATAGGAAAGCATCGTGGAGCTGCGAATCCAAGAGAAATTTCAATCATGAGATCTCTCAAACCCTATGAAGATGTACAGACGGAATTTCACTTGAAAGGGCAGGAGGGAAGAAAACATAAATTTCTCCTTTAATTCCTTCAAGAAAACATCGATTTCAAATTAATAATTTTTTTGGGTTCAAATAGTAATAATTTCTTTTTTCTTCTATGTTCTGGTGTTTGGGTTTTGCTGCAGATAGTCCTAGAAGAAGCAAATGATTTGTGTATGGCTTATAATCTGATTGTCGATGGTGATACCGTCTTAACTGGAGTTAAATGTTTCATTGGCCACTGAACTTTATACTATGTTACGGTTTACTCACTGAACCTCATTAATTGTTCTATTGGCCATTGAACTTTATTCCGTCCAACTCCATCACTCACCCGATGAAAATCGTTAATAGATGTGCATACGTAGACGACGGAAAAATGAGCTGGCCAGTTAAATCTTTTCCAAGTGGTAAGTTTCATATAAATGACTTAACAAAAACAAAATTAAATTGCTGCAAATCGTGAACTCAGTTTCTCCTCCCAAATCCATTCGCGAAGAGTCCTAATTTCACCTCAACCAATCACCTTCCCAAATCAATTGATCCCCAAACATTCCCTTCAAGAACCATAACCCCAAAAATCGATTCAATCGACGGGAAGAGTACAAACAATCTGCCAAAATCCAAACTACAAGATACAGTAATCAAGTGTTCGTTGGATCTTGACCGTGATTTGAACTGAATTAAAGGTAAATTTCGTCCGTCGCCTTGTGAATCTAAATGCGATTTTGATGAAATGAACCATTGGCGATTTCGTCCCATATTGTTTCACTATCAATATTTGCTCTAAAATGTTTGTTGTTTTGGTTCGTTCCTACCACATGCCCTTCAGACCTTGATCCTTAGATTTCTTACTGTAGATGTTAATTCACACATGCAAAGCAGTTGGTTTTTAGTGTGCCTGTAATCTTACGTTGTAGTCATTTTCTTGAAGCTTAAACTATCAATGTTTAAGTAGAATAATGTCTTCAAATACATGTATGCTGGTTTTTATAGTTGAGAGGAAAAGAATGGTTTTGATTATTTGGAACTCAAATTACTTATTATATGATTATGATCATATGTTACAATTTAAGATTCAAGTGATTGGAATCCTAAAATTTTGTATTGGTTTATTATTTATGAACATTCGTGGATGTTTTTGATGTAATCAAATGTTTGATATATGAATTACTTCTTGAAGAGTTGGAATAACTCTGAAAAGCATTTTGAGAATTTGTAGCTGCAATAACATCTTAAAATGACAGGAAAGAACAAAAGCATTTGTCATGATTTCATGATGTTGGGCCATTACCGGTCGGAATGTCCGACGAAGAAACGACGCCCAACATGTGGCAAGGGATATGTGAAAGAAAAATGCTATTCATCCCCAATGAGGATGCATCCCCAGTCTATGTGGATGTAAATGATTGGTTAACGATTGCAGGCATTTCTTTTGTTGTACTAACGATTGCAGGCGTTTCAAGTGG